ACCTCCTCCCTCCTTTGTGCTGCTACTGCTGCCTGTCAGCTGCCTTCCCCTTTTCTGCTCTTGCTGCTGGTTCTGCTCCTGCCACTCTGACGCCCTCTTTACTTCTCTCGTGCTCTCCCTCCTCCTTCCCTTCCCCTGCTGCCCTCCTGGCCCTCCTCCTCTTCCCCTGCTGCCCTCCTCCTGCCCTTCCCCTGCTGCCCCCCTGGGGGTGGGAGCAGAGCAGAGGACAGCACGGGAAGGAAAACAGGAAACAACAGCAGCTTGATGAGCATGATGTTTCGTTGCTTGACTCTCTCTCGTCGGCTGGTCTCTCGCGTAACTGTGGGGGGGCAAGTTTCCTGGATGACATCGGTCCGCACATCGAGTGGGATAGGCCAAATCGCCTGTGTAATTTTGAGGTATCAAAACCATATTCAAAACCTAATTCCTACATTCACACAAAACCATAATTTTCGTATAATTTTTGGCTAATTTATGGTTTTTCATACGAACCCCTCTCTCTGAGGCGCTCGCCCTCACAACATTTGTACACGGAGCGCGAATATACCAACGGGCCCAAAGAGCCGCTAGCCGTGGACTTCGCTGCGTTGCTCCGTGGTCAGTCACATCCTGATCAGGTTCTCGCGGCCACGTGTGAAGCCGCTCACTTTTGGCGCGAGGTAGCCGCGACTCTCGAGGTTGGCGGATGGGTGTCCTTCCATAAGGTGAAGGCCCACAGAGCAGACGACTCTGCCATCAGCGAGAATGATAAAGCAGATATTTGTGGTAATCAATATGCCGATTGGCTCGCCAAACAAGGGGCCAGGTCGCACGATTTTGACCCCTCGTTCTCCGATACTGTAGATTCTACGTTTGAACAGTTTAAGGAGCCTTTTGTGGGGATGGGGAAAGTCCTTGCCCTCTGGCCCCCCCCCCAGTGATATGTTCGGAGTGCTGGATAAGGAATTTGTGAGACCCCGTGGCCGTCGTAGGACCCTTACGTCACCACACATCCCTTACTGGCACATAGATCACTGGCGGTGCAGTCACTGTCTCAGAACCTTGTCACCACGCACTAAGACCCCTTGTATCGGCCTGAATCCCTCACTTCTGGAAGTGCTGAAGACCCCTGGACATTTCGGGCATTCCCTCCACGTCGCCTTTGTCGTGGAATATGGTTTTCCTGTTGTGTTTTGCTCCAGGTACGGCGCTCTTGGGACTCAGAAAGCCATCAAGTTGAGGTCGAGGTGTGTGCCGAATGACAATTCGAAAGAGAAGCGTGCCCTCCTCAAAGGTAAGCTTCCGATGACACAGTGTAGAATTCATTCCCCCCAGCAGGTCAGCGGCACCGCCCTGGGGGATTTCATCACTCAACTCTAATCTTCTGGGTTCGTGCCCATGTGCCAGCTGTGCTCTGTATGGCTGACGCTCTTGGTACCCGCAGGGGGAGGGGGAGGAGGGGGAGGGGGAGGGGGAGAGGGGGAGGGGGAGGGGAGGGGGAGGGAGGGAGGGAGGGAGGGAGGGAGGGACATTCTCGCGATTTCGGCGACATGAGCTGTTTAGGAGGCCTCTTATAAATCAACCCTGGGGATAGGGGGTCGAGAGGGGGAGATCAGGCCCACGTCGGGAAAACGTCACAACGTCGGACGACCGGGCTGGGCGTCAGAAGTTCTGCGGCAGCTTCGAGGAAGCCGGCCCGAATTCTGACCTTCCTGCGCACCGTGCGCAAGATTTGTGCGGGCAGAGCAGGAGGAGGAGGAGGAGGAGGAGGAGGAGGAGCACGATAATGAGCGATGAGGAGGGGGAGGAGCTGGCCCAGCGTTCGCCCCAGGATTTTGCCATAAAGAAATTTGGCCCAGGCATTGGGGCTACAATCGAGCCCTGACCGTGTGGCAGGCTGGCCCGGCCCGCATTGCTTCCCCAGTCTTCGGGAGGGGAAACAGTACACAGACAGAATCAATCGTCGGTCCCAAGGGAAAGATTCGAACATATGGGAAGTGGGGGGGAAGATGAAAATGCTGAAAATTTGACAAAATATAGGGAATCCTGGGATCTGCGTTTATGTATGTGTGTGCCCCAGGGCCCCTTCAAGTCTGCCCAGCGCTCTTCCACGTCAAAACGCGGCGCGGGGGCTGCGCTGCAATGAGACGACAGTCGCGGTCTCCTTGTGATGCCAAAACATATTTAGTCTTGCGTGTCCTTTTCTACAGGAGGAATATTCAAAAATAGTACAAAAAAGAGACGCTGGTCGATTTTTATATGTTTTGTTTTTTCCCCGTTTCTTATACTTTTAATTTGTTGCCCACAATCCGCCTGTAGAGAGACAGGCCCGACCTAAAAAGAATACGGCAGCATGCGTGCCCAGATTTCCGACGATCTCCGACGTCGTGCTCTCCTTCAATACGTGACCCCCCACATGCATTTTTAAGTCCGCAGGCGCCAGGTGGCCCAAGACAGCCAGACCCCGGTGAAAACATGAGATGGGGTGCACCAGGAGCGAAGCGAGGCGCGAAAGCGGAGGAGAGCAGAGCGCGAGGGGGAAGAGGTATGACCTCGCCCAGACCATGAAAGTTGGCGCGGGGCCTCCCCCACCCACACACCCCAAGGGCGCTTCTATCGGACCCGCTGCCGTCATCGAGGGGTCGCGCGGAGTTGGTGCCGCCGGGGGAAGATCTCGCGGCGCGGGCCCCCGGCGCCTCACCGTCCCATCCCTGGGGGCCAGTCTTAAGTCGGGCCTGTCCCTCTACAGGGGGAATGCTCAAAGATAGTAAAAGCATAGTCCAGGGACCACTTTTTGAGTATTCTTCTGACCATGTTGGAGCATGTTTGGAGTATGTTTTAGGTTTCGTCGAAAGCCCCCATTCTGGAGCATGTTTGGAGCATGTTCTATGTTTCGTCGGAAAAACCCGCGGCAGAAGGCTGGCCTGAAGTCGGGGGGACACGCCCGACTTCGGGCCAGCCTGCTGCCGCGGGGCGTCCCTCCGCCGACCTCCGAGGCCCGACCGCGGGGCCAGAGGTGCCTTCGCGGCGTTCCTCAGGAGGGAAAGAAACACACAGACACAATCAATCGTCGACTCCCCAGAAAATATGCGAAAATATTGGAATTGGGCGGGAAGACAAAAATCCAGAAAATATGGGAAAATATGGGGAATCATTTTATTTGTGTGTATTTATTTGTGTGTCCCAGGGCCCCTTCAGTTCCGCAGCGCCGGAGGCCTGGGCTCCCCCCACCCATGACTCGCTGGAGGGCAGAACCCCCAACAGTGACACGTCGATCAGTGAATTGTCCGTTTTGGGTTCTCGAGAGGGCGCCGTGGTCGTTATTTTCCAGGCTTGCGCCCGCCAGGTTTGGGCCTCAGGTCGTTTTCACTAAACCACGTTTTACCAAAGGGGGTTCTGTCCATCCCCGACCATGACTCGCTGGAGGGCAGCCCCAGGCATGATCGCGTCGTTACAATTATCTCGGGCGTGTCCCCCATACAAGGGGATTTCCGACGAAAAGTAAGAAATAATCCAAAAATGTCCCCAAAAGGTCAAAAAATAGTCTAAATAGTCTGGGGACTATTGTTTGATTATTTTTGTTTGTTTTTTGGGGGTATTTTTTGTTTTTCGTCGAAAAATCCCCCTGTAAGGGGACAGGCCCGACGTAATGTCAAAAAAAAGCCAGGACGGGAGGTGTTTGGCCATTTTCAGCCGCGGGGGCCCTCACCGGGCCTCGGGACCGTCAGAAAACAACTCGGGATGACAAACCGGCCCTGGAGAAAGGGTCGGGACTTCGGGGACGCCGTCCTGAAAATATCAGGACATCGCATGTCTGGGACCCTTGGACACCATCCCGTGACACTTCCCGAACACCTCCGGAAAGAGGCAAGGAGGAGGAGGAGGACCAGCGTAAACCAAATATTCAACAACGACGTCGCAATAAACCCTCCCTCCAGCTTCCCTCTCCACATGCCCCTGGAAATATATTCATTTTCGCTGCGGGAAGTGCCCCCCGTTGGACGACCCCCGTCTGAAAATCATGAACCGTGCCAGGACACCATTCCTAGGGCTTCAACGCCGCGAATCAACGTTACTGTTGCGTCCTGACGATCCTGAATCGCACGAGAAAGCCATTCGTGGGACCTCAAACCGCGAATCAACGTAACTGTTGCGCCTTGACCGTCCTAGATCTTACTAAAACACCCTTGCCGGGACGTCAACCATCATAATCATTGAAAGTGTTATAATTTATTGAGACGAGTGTGCGCGGCGAGAATGCGACAGCCACTTTTTGAAAGGGACCGCCTTCCATCCGCTAAGTTCTTGCAAACGGTAAAGACGAATGTGCGTTTCGCTAAGACGAGAGACACATTTTAAACCGCCCGCCCTCCATCCCGGACATTCTTGCAAACTGTTAAGACGAATGCGTGCGGCGTTGGGGCGAGAGCCACATTTTGGAACTTGCCCGCCCGCCCTCCATCCGTGAAGTTGCTGCAAAAAAAGCTTGAGGATCACAAGTGGTGAGGAAACCTGAGGCGAAACGCCCAGCCCGCCATGCCGACACGTCTCGGGGCACGACAGGAAGGAGTCATGTATAAAGGAAATGGATGGGGGAGGATGAGGAGGAGGAGGAGGAGGAGGAGGAGGAGGAGGAAAAGAGGAGGAGGACGAGGAGGAGGAGGAGGGAGGAGGAGGGAGGAGGAGGGGAGGAGGATGGGGAAGGAGGAGGTGGAGGTGGAGGTAGAGGTGAGAGGCGAGAAGGAGGGGAAGGAGGAGGGAGGAGGATGGGAGGAGGGGAGGAGGAGGAGGAAGAGGAGGAGGAGGAAGGAGGAGGAGGAGGAGGAGGGAGGAGGACGAGGAGGAGGAGGAGAAGGGAGGGAGGGATGGAGGGAGGGCGGGACTGAGGGAGGGAGGGAGGAGGAGCAGGAGGAGGAGGACGGGGAAGAAGGAGGAGGCGGAGGAGTAGGTGGAGGGGAGAAGGACGGAGGAGGTAGCTGACGCGCCGGGCCTGGAGCTCTCCTGTACGTGGGGGGAGCCAGCGGCTACAGTGCGTGGACGCGGTGACCGGCGCGAAGGCCCCCCCCCGCGACCGCCGAGCTCGAGCCGCTCAGGGGCGATCTAGGGGATGAGGATCAGGCTTTAAGCTGGGCGTGTCCCTCCACAGGGGGGAATATTCCAAAATAGTCAGAAAATTGTCTGGGGACGATTTGTTGGCTCGTTTTGGCTATTTGGGAGTATGTTCTGACTATTTGTTATTTTTCGTTTAAAAACCGCCTGTAGGGAGACAGGCCCGACCTAAGATCAGGCAGAGCAAGCAGGAAGGAGCAGGAGGAGGAGCGGGAGGAGGAGCGGGAGGAACAGACAGGGGGGATGAGAATCAGGAGGATCAGGAGCAGCAGGCAGGGGGGAGGGGGAGGGAGGATGATTCGTCCTCCAGGATTTTGACGCTGTCCGCTCTGCTTGGGTCTCCACGCCCTTCGTGCACGACGTTGTCGCCGGCGTCGTCTTCGTCGTACGTGTCACCGTCGTCCACGGCGTTGCGTTACAATCCCGCCTCTCCTTGCGGACATGTATTTCTCCCCCTTCGCGTCGTCGTCGCCGGTCGCCGTCCACAGTGTTGCGTTGTGCTCCCTCTTTTGCGGACATCTGCTCCTCATATCCTCTTTGCGTCGTCGTCGTCGGTTTGACATGACAGGCATGTTGCTATGATACTTGTCGTACAGTTACCATCGGGAAAGGTATCGCCAGAGACAAGCCTATGTCTTAGTCGTCCCTTGCCCTTGTGCGTCTGATACGCTTGGTCGCATTAGGGAAACAAGTCCCATATAGTGACAAGCGAGAACCCAATTTTGAGAAGGATCCTAGCCATGTCCCGGCATTGTTGCACATTTGCAAGTTTCGGGTCGTACAGCATACTAGCAGCAACCGAGATTATGCCTACTGCATTTTGCTGGACCGTGTCATTGAAGCTGGGGAAATTTCAAGTGATAGCCATATGTCCATCCGTGTCACAGCTTTGAGAAATTCAGACGGCCGCACGTGGCGCAGCAGCGATCTTGCCATTCTGAAGACGGCCCACTATACAATCGTGCAGATTCTGCAGATTATTCAGACGATTGTACACCGTCTCGTCTTCCACGTTCTCGTCTCATCATCATCATCATATATATATGTATATGAATCCGCATCTTCGGCCTCCTCTTCCCCCTCGTTCCCCGCCCCTTCCTCATCCCCCCTCCCCGTCCGCCCCTCCTTTGCCCCGCGTGGCGCCCTCAGCCACCCCCGCCCCCCGCCCGCGCGGCAGTGGCCCGACCAGACGGGCAACATGTGCAACACGTGCCAGCCGGAGTGCACGCTGTCCAGCTCGCAGCCGGCGCCGGCGCCGGCGCCGCCGGAGGAGAGCGGCGGGCTCTGCAGGCCCGAGGGCGGGGCGAGGCGGGGGGGGGGGGAGGGGGGCGGGGGGGAGGGAGGGGGGGGGGGAGGGGGCAAGCCAGGTGCGCTCGCGCCCTGCCTGGCATCCTGCCCCTCGTGCCCATCCCTTCCCCCTGCGGAGTCCGATTGTGGCGTCCTAGAGAGCCCTGGTCCCCAGTGCGACGACGTGGTGTGATGCGCAGTCAGAAAAAGGAGCCTCTTTGCATTCGAGGCGGAGGAGGAGGAGAAGGAGGAGGAGGAGGAGGAAAAGGAGGAGAGGGCGGTCGAGCAGGAGGATGAGTAGGAGGAGAACGAGGAGGATGAGATGGGGAGGAGGAAGAGAAGGAGGAGGAGGAGGGAGAGGAGGAGAAGTAGGAGGAGGAGAAGGAGACAGGAAACAGGAGACAGGAGACAGGCGGAGGTGGTGCAGGAGGAGGAGGAAGAGCAGCAGCAGGAGCAGCAGAGCTGGAGAGTCAGGAGTTTCAGCGGAAGGTGGAGGAGGGGGAAGAAGAGTTTCAACGACGAGGAAAGGATCGAATTCTTAAGTGCGGCCAACATTGCAGCGGGAACACAAATTTGAAGGATCGGGAATGCTCCGATCGAAGCAATAGGAAATACAAATTATTGAGTTCCTGCGTGTGCGAAAATGTGTGGCAGACGCGGGGGAAAACCCGGAGAGTACCACTCACATACGAGGCTCCCGCCTGAGATTTCTTTCATACTCAAGCCTGGGGAGCTCAAAAGCGACGACAACTAGAAGTGTGAGGATGACCCGCTGGGATTAGTAACATGAGGTGCGAGCCCCGTAGGGCAGGGGCTCCCGCCTGAAACTTCCTCGCTGATGGGGGTGAGTGACTGTGAGTGAGTGGGTGAGTGAGTGAGTGAGTATGATGATGATGATGATGATGATGATGATGATGATGATGATGATGATGATGATGCTGATGCTGATGCTGATGATGATGATGATGATGATGATGATGATGATGATGATGATGATGATGATGATGATAATGTTGATGATGATGATGGTGATGATGATGATGATGCTGATGATGGGTGAGTGAATGAATGTGTTTGAGTGAGTGAGTGAGTGAGTGAGTGAGTGAGTGAGTGAGTGAGAAAGCGTGGTGAGGATGATGAGTGCGTGAGTGCGCGAGTGTGTGGGTGAGGAAGAGAGGGGTGGAGGAAGACGAGGAGGAGGATTTCTGCGCGGGGGGTGGCGCAGAGAAGAGAACCCCGCATTGGATGTGGGGAGTTTTCCGAATGAGCAAGGAAAGAAGGAAGAGGACCAGCAGGCATGACGATCAGGTGCATGAAGAGTGGCATTAAATGGATGAGGCGGTGGCGGCGGAGAGAGGAGTAGGAGCAGACGGAGGAGGCAGGAAACAATGAGCAGGAATTATGTGATGGGGCAATGTCCCCACCGCTCAGGACGACATTCGCGGGGACTGGCGTGACCATGTACATGGATGGCTTCAAGATGACTTCACTGTCACCTGACGAGGAGCTGTGTTATTGCTTTATTGTTGGAAACATCGTAGTTTCTTGTAAATTCGACGTCGGAAGAATAGTCGAAAGGGCAAAGTCCGTGCATGTGAAGCGGAACCTAAGGGCACTATACAGAAACGAGAAGAAAGATACGAGAGAACAGAAGGGCGTAGCGGAAGACAGAGGCGGCCGGGTTGGACAAGTGATAGCAGGTTTGAGGATGGCAATCACTGCAAGGGGCATTGACAGGAGAATTAGGACCGGTTGCGGGAGGAGGGAAATAGAGGTGCGGAGAAGGGAAGACAAGGGGTGGGGAAGGAAACGTCCAGCATCCGGGCCACATCTGAGCCGCAGCGTGCCGTCTGTAGCCGCGCGACCCCTTGGCAAGAGACGGACGGCGTTCGACGACGGAGCCCTGGAAAACCGCCGTTCCGGAGGCGTGCGTCAATTTCCTCCTGCGCGACCCTCAGAGGCTGCTAGTCCTGCCTGTGCCCGCGGCAGGGGCTCGAGGTCGGGTGCCGCTGGGACCTGCGGCTGGTCGGCCACGGCTGTCTGGCTTCGGCCTTCTCTCTCCCGCACTTACTCGTGTCGCGGGACCCCGAAAGGCGTGGTGACCGCACAGTGTATTAGAGGAGGAAAAGGTATTACAGATATCGCTACGCTCGCTTCGTTTTTGCCCTCCTGGGCCTCCTGGGGGGCCCTCGTCGCCGCCGCTGGAGTCGCCTCGAAGTTCCTTCCGGCCAGAAGGCACCCCTGGAGAGGTCTGGGGAGCAGGGGTATCGGTCCCTCTTGGTTTCCCCAGTGTGTCAAGTCGGTCCGGACGATCGAAAATGGTACAGAAACAACGGGTACAAAAACCAACAGCGATACTTCTTCATTCCGAACCATGCTCGCTGTCGGCGTCGCCGCGGTCGTTGCCCACCTGAAACGCGAAGCCGCTTGCCCAACAGCGGCCGCTGTCGGTTTTGGACAACATGTGTTGTTGTTCATCGTACAGTGGAGGCCCATGCCAAGAAACACCCTGCTTGCCTCCAGGGTGCCCTGGGTTTCTTGGGTTCCGAGGGCTTTGCCGTGGAAGGCGTGACGTACCCACACCACAAATCAGCGGACGTCCTGGGGTCTCAGGGTCGGGTGTCTTGTGGAAGGCTTCTTGCGGACCGGTCTCCACTGTACCTCCCCCGCGTAGGGCTCCTCCCCCTTGGGCCCCCAAGACCGTGCGGCGACGGGCCGTGCGCGCGATGAGATCCTCGGAGCAGTCGGCACGTCACCGCACGGCCTGCCGCCGCACGGTGTCGGGGCCGCCGGCGGTGCCAGGCCAGCAGGCTCACTCCGCGTGGACGCGGCGGCGACGCCGGTGCGGGCGGTCACGAGTGCAGGGCTCTCTTCGATTCCTCCGATTCGATTCGATTCGATTTCGATGGATTCCGATTCCGACTCGATTCGACTTGGGATTCCGATCTGGGCTCCGATTCCTTATTGGAGACATACTAGCCTGCCGATTTCCGCCGATCCGACTTTTCCCGATTCGGCTGCCGATTTCCGCCGATCCGATTCATGTCGATTGCCGATCCGATTTATCGATTCGATTCTGGACTCTCCTGCGAGTGCGAGCCAACGGCTGCCGGAACGCCGGCTGCGGATGATTGTTAAGTCGGGCCTGTCCCTCTGCAGGGGGGATACCCAAAGCTAGTCCAGCAATAGTCCGTGGACGAGTTTGTTTACCACTTGTGTGATCTTCTTCTTTTTTGTTTTTTTGTATTTTGGGGGTATTGCCTGTAGAGGGACACGCCCGACCTAGGATTATTGTGGAGGCCCAGGTCATCGCGCCAGCATCGCAGGGCGGACGTCGTTCGGAAAATGATCGGGTGGGCCCGGAGTGTCCTGGATAATTTCGCTCCGGGTTTCGAGGCGAATTTCGTCCAGATTGTTTGCTAAGGCCAGGAGTGAAGACCAAAAATAATCCACGCGAAATTCACGTCGTTTTTCGCTCGCCGCTTCGGGCAACAATCCATGCAGAAATCCGCTGCAGCACGTCTGCAATGCCGGTGCAATGATGACCCATGCCAAGAGACACCTTGCTTGCCTCCAGGGTGCCTTGCGTGTCTTGGGTTTCGATGGCTCTGCCATGGAAAGCGTGACGCTCCCACCCCCGAGATCAATGGACGTCCTGGGGTCTCGGGGTCGGGTTTCCTGTGGAAGGTTTCTCGTGATCGAGCTCCGACTGCAGAAACAATGGGGCCGTCCCCTCGTTACGTTCCTGCCAAGCAGACTCACAGAGGGAAAGAGCCGTGTGTGCCCTGTGCATCCGAGGGGGGCCCCGTGCACCCTGGGGGCCCCTACTCGACCAAGGGCCCTTCACGACGCGTGCTCCCCCCGTCCCGTCCTCCTACACACAACACACAATTACATGTCACTTTCCGAGAAAAGATTCGAAACTATGGGAAGTGGGGGGGGAAGACGAAAGTCAAGAACACGTTTCAGAATATGGGGAATCGTAGGATTCCTGTGTATTGCTTATAGTGTGCCCCTGGGCACCTCCGTCGAGCCGGGCCAGCATTGGACGATCTCCGCGGTCGGACGGCGAGGGCCGCCCCATGCTGGACGCTCTGTCGGGGGAGCGTGAGACCCGGGTTTGCCGGGACTCGGGTTCGCCATCGTTTTTTGACGACTGCGCCTCGGATTTTGACGAGGAGGAGTTTCGTGGGATGTCTGCAGCGGGAGGCCCCGTCAAAATGCAGGCTCGGCCTCGTCATTTTTTTGACGACCTCGTCGGGGATTTCCGAGTCCCCCGTACCCAGGTCTTACGTCTCCCCGACTCTGGTGCGGCGTCAGGGACAGGCGTCTGCGCGCGCCGCCTCGGCAAGAGCTGGCCGAGAGGGAGGCGAGCAGGAGAGGGCGTTGGCCGGGCGGGGCTGGGACGGGGATACATCCGCTCCAGAGTTTTCGTCCTCCACATCCCCCTCCCCCCCCCTCCTCCTCCTCCTCCCCCTTCTCCTCCTCGTCCTCCTCCTCCTCCTCCTCCTCCTCCTCCTCCTCCTCCTCCTCCTCCCTCCCTCTTCTCCCTCCTCATCCTCCGCCCTCCTCCTCCTCCTCCTCTCCTCCTCCTCTCCTCGCCTCCTCCTCCTCGTCCTCCTCACATTTCTCCTCCTCCGCCCCTTCTCCTCCTCGTCCTCCTCCTCCTCCCACCGCCTCCTCTCCTCCCCCTCCCCCTCCGTCCTCCTCCTCCTCCTCCCCCCGCCTCCTCCTCCTCCTCCTCCTCCTCCCGAACGCTCTCCGGGAGTGCCGGAATCGAGGAGGCCGCGGCGCCCGACGCACCCTCCAGAGCTCCGCCGGCCCTGGGAGATTCTAGATCTGAAACTATCCCCGCCCGATGTTGTGATGGGCTTGTTTTCCACCACCACCACCATAAGTAGGAGGGGGAGGGGGTCCTCCTCCTCCTCCTCCTTCTCCTCTTCCTCCTCCTCATCCTCCACCTCCTTCCCCCCTCCAACTTATGGTGGTGGTGGTGGAAAACAGGCCTCTCATGTTGTCCTCGTCCTGGCTCGGTCTTACAGTCGACCCGCAGGGTAGGGATGGGCAAGCTTCCCAAGGGTACCTTTGCATCCTTGCCTCCTCGGTCCATCATCGGGCGAAGAGAACTATGCACATGCACCGATCCTGGCAAGGCCCATTTTTGACCCAGGATCGGTGCATATGCCTTCCTGGCCAAGGTAGGAGGGCGTATGCACCGATCCTGGGCTCAGGATGGGCCTGGCCAGAATCGGTGCATGTGCATAGTTCTTTTCCCTCTACATCATTGGCCACTTTCGCTGGCCGCGCTCCGCTCGAAGAGCTTCGAAAGGGGCGTCCGAGGCCCTTGCATCCGTGTGTCTTGCGTCCTTGTGGTGCGGGCCGACTGTAGCCTTAGAAAGCTCGGTCCACGACGTGGCCGGCCTGTGCGAGAGCCGTGCACGCGTGCACGCGTGGGTGTGCGTGAGTCCTCCTGGCCATCTCCACCCGCATCTCCAGCGCGCGGCCTCCGCCGCATGGCGACCCGCGGCGTGTGCGGGTGCGTGTGCGGGTGCGGGTGCGTGTGCGTGTGTGCGTGTGTGTCTGTCTGTCTGTGTGTGTCTGTTTGTGTGTGTCTGTGTGTGTGTCTGTTTGTTTATGAGTGTGTGTGTGTGTGTCTGTGTGTCTGTGTGTGTGTCTGTGTGTGTGTCTGTGTATGTTTGTGTGTGTGTGTTGTGTTTGTGTGTGTTTGTGTGTATCTTTGTGTGTATCGGAGTTTGTGGGGTGAGATCGCAGTGGAACAGAGACCCCCAACCGGGAAATCGTTCCGTTTCGTTCGTGTCGTGCGTGCGTGCGAGGCGAAGTTGCGTGGGCGCGCGAGAGGAATGAACCCGCCGTTGTTAGGGCGAAGCCAAGACAAGTGTTTCTCCTCCGTCAGTCCGTCCAGCGGTGGCTTGAGCGGTGTCCCGTGGTGCTTGCTGTTGCTAGGGCGAAGTCAAGACAAATGTTTCTCTTCCGTCCGTCCGGCGGTGGCATGAGCGGTGTCCCGTGGTGTCCCGTGGTGTCCGCCGTTGTTAGGGCGAAGTCGAGACAAATGATTATCCCCCGCCCGCCCGCCCGCCCGCCCGTCCGTCCGTCTGGCGGTGTCTCGCGGTGTCCCGCGGTGTCCCGTGGTGTCCCGAGGTGTACCATGGGGTCCCGTTGAGTGAGATCGATAGTGGGATCGATAGTGAGATCGATGTGGTGCCCCGAGTTGTCCCGTGGTGCCCCGTGGTGCCCCTAAAAGTGAAATCGATAGTGAGATCGATAGTGAGATCGACAGGTGTCCCGTGGTGTCCCGTTGAATGAGATCGATAGTAAGATCGATGTGGTGTCCCGTGGTGTCCCGTTAAGTGAGATCGATAGTGAGATCGACAGGTGTCCCGTGGTGTCCCGTTGAGTGAGATCGATAGTGAGATTGATAGTGAGATCAATATTGAGATCGATGTGGTGTTCCGAGGTGTCCCATGGTGTCCTATGGTGCCCAGTTGAGTGAGATCGATAATTAGTGAGATCGATAGTGACATCGATAGTGAGACCGATAGTGAGATCGAGAGGTGTCCCGTGGTGGCCCGTGGTTTCTCGTGGTTTCTCGTGGTGTCCCGTTGAGTGAGTTCGACAATGAGATCGATAGTGAGATTGGCAAGTGTCCCGTGGTGTCCCGTGGTGTCCTATGGTGCCCCGTTGAGTGAGATCGATAGTGAAATCGATACTGAGATCGATATTGAGATCGATGTGGTGTCCCGAGGTGTCCCGTGGTGTCCCGTGGTGTCCCGTTGAGTGAGATCGATAGTGAGATCGATAGTGATATCGATCGTGAGATCGATGTGGTGTCCCGTGGTGTCCTACGGTGTTCCGTTGAGTGAGATCGATGGTGAGATCGATAGTGAGACCGACAGTGAGATCGGTCCCGTGGTGTTCCGCAGTGGCCCGTGGCGTCCC